CTATAGCCGGCTGTCCTGTGAGCTCTGTGACCCGTCCCTCTACATCTTCAGCTGCTGACGAGCGGCAAGCCGATCATCTACATCCAGGCGAAGGGCATGATTGCAGTCCGCAAATGAGTGCCGCGCCGTCTTTCGACGATAGCCAGTGGGCTGAGTGACTGGCTGCATAACAGGCGAGAGAAGTCGTTCAAGCGGTGGACGAGGCTGTTGTGGTTGCATCCTCAGCCGACTGACCAGCTCGACACCGTCGACCTTGAGGCCATCACGCTCGCGCACGAGATCGACATCTCCAAGGTCCGGCATGACTTCCACAAGACCTGGACTAGTGGCTTCGTAGAGACGATTCGCCGCTCGCACACCAGCACCACCACCCGCCCCACCCGCCCCACCACCACCATCACCAAGACGACGACGACCGAAACCACTGTCAGCGGCCAGATCACTGCCGAGATGTGGACGAGACCATCACGGTGGATGCTGTTCATCTCATGCACTTCATCTTGAACCTCAAGAGTATGTCTTCGTCTCGGGCTTTCGATGTCTTCTGCTGCTGACGCCGCGACTCACAGGTGTACGCTACGTCGAGGAACTTTGGATCGGCACCGACCTCGGCACCGACGATACCTCGCTCGAGAAGGTCGACACCATCAGGGCAGTACATCCCCGAGTGCCTCGTCGCCCTCACCCACTGCGGCCACAACATTCTGCACACAGTCCCGATCTGGAAGCTTCCCCGCACCGACAAGCCCTCAGACTTGTTCGCGTTCACCGATGTCGACCACCGCGTCCTTACCAAGAAGGGGATCACCATCGACTCCTGCCTCAACTTCGAGACCTCGAGACCTCGATCCCGCCCGCCATCATGTACGGCGTCACCAGTGGTGCCAGGATGCCGACGCTCAGTGGTAAGTGGGCCGCCGGTTGGGAGGCTGTCGGTCGAGATTCAGCCGACATGCTGGGCCTGTCGCGCGAGGTCTTCATGAAACGATGCATCCTCGAGCAGCTCAACAACGTCAATGGGAATGCGATGACGACGACCGTCGCGAAGAACGTCGATGTCGTCGACGATATTTGGGAGGTCGACCTCACGACATGGTATCTGTACCCGACGCGGAGAGCCGTTCAGTGCCGCTGTGACCAAGAGTGCCGGCAATACACGGCGGGATCGCATCGGTTTGAGGGCTGGCAGAGCCGCGGTGGGCTGGTCAAAGCGAAGCTTCGTCAAGTCGAGCACAGCGCGGAGCTCTCGTACAGGTCTCTAAAACGCAGCGTTATGATTAGGTGTAAGTAGGGATATAGACATTCATTCAAGAAGGTAGTAATCAAAGAGAAAGCGGTCGATATCAAAGCAAAGAGCCGGGGTCAATAGGTATGTGTTTAACATCGGAACATCGGTAATAATGTCGTTGGAACATACACAGGCACACCTGGACATGCCAGGTGTGATCATGACTTTGTGCTGGACGCCTCGGATCCCCACCACGGTGTAGCGGTGAGCTGCAAACAGCTAAATTAATAGTCCTAGTAATAACGCGAGCGACTTACGTTACGATAATTTGCCTTGTCCCGTTCGCACGCGCGCGCTGCCCGACGATCGACTTCGCTACTTCTTTGAGGATGCGTTCCCGCTGTAACGGCTGCGCAGAATACCAGCTGGGATCGAGGAACAAGACACGCCAATCATTTCTATATATAAAACCAGGTAAGTCTCATTAGTCTAATTGCGGGGCGACGGCACTTACGAAGTGGCACGCTTCGCCTCGGTCTCCATCAGCCTCTTTACCGCCTCCCATCGAACCCTCGCCCTGTATTGCGCGAAGGATTGATACCAGCCAATCGTACGGTTCGTGTTCCGTTGCCCCGAGTTCTTCTGGTTGCCGGACATGTTGAGCTTTCGGACTGACGGCCGTGGCGGTTCGAAAGCGTACGGTAAGTACGAGGAATCAGTCGAGAATCTGGCACTCACCTTCAACCAATTAGCTCCCACCTCCTCAACTGCTTTCGTACAGTCGGGCGCTGAGGGCGAATGCGACGGCGGTCGAAACTGGGCACAGACGCGAAGAGTTGAGCTTGAGGGCTGAGGCTGTGCGGTTC